ATTGCCGGCTTTTTTTTTTTTCCTTCACTATAGCTCAATGAGCTGTCACTTTCCCCAGAGCTATAGGAAACTTTGTTTCTTTTAGCTTGGGGAAAGAAACAGAAAGGAAACTGTTTCTCTTAGCTGGGGGGAAATTGACAGCTCATTCTGTGAGCTATAGTGAAGAAAAAAAAAAAGCCGGTAATTACATTTAAAAACCGGCACTGACATATAGTGACAGGCAGTCATATACACTGCTCCTGTCCTGCCTTTCTCTGCCGCCCCTTCAAATCTGAAGTACACACAGTCCCCTGTATCGGCTAAATGCTATCCCTATTTAGAATCTCATGATGCACGACACCTCGTTGCACTGGTGCCTAGATTTGTATTTTGTACCCAATGTAAAGATGTATACTCCCAAATGTTTGAAGTTTATCTAAGTTTCTGTAGTTTGGTTATTTAAAGCTCTATTAAGAAAAATGTATGGAAACAGAAAACAGCTGATAAAGGTTTAGTTTATCTTTATATAATATATGCATGTGATTTCCAGCATCCCCAGTACATGAGGAAACATTGTCCAGGTTTTGAGAGACTTCATTTTAATGTCGTACCTGTAAAATGTCTTAAAAACTTCTAGCTAGGCGCATTTAAAAGCTGCACATGAGAAGTGCGCACGCTTTCCTTTTCACCTCTGTTACTCCAAGCCCCGGTGGGCGGGGCGAAACATGTCGTACAACATGCGCCTACCTCAGATTTTCAGACAGACTTGGGAGATGCCACACCCAGTGGACAGGTATGACATTAAAAAGAATTTTCTCTTTAAAAACCTGAACAGTGTTATTTTTTTTTTAATGTATTTTGGAGGCTGGAATGCATGAGCAAGTTTATTGTTACATAGTTCGTCTGGCTGAAAAAAGACAAAAGTCCATCCAGTCCATTAAAAAAAAAAAAAAAAGTTATAATCCCACACCTACAGTTGATCCAGAGGAAGGCAAAAAACCCAGCAAAAAGTATGATCCAATTTGCTCCCGCAAGGGAAAAATTTCTGTCCTGATCCCCCGAGAGGCAATCAGATATTCCCTGGATCATCTTTACCTATAAATGTTATATCCAGTTATATTCTGTGTATCCAAGAAAGAATCTACGCCTTTCTTACAGCAATCCACTGAGCTGGCCAGAACCAACTCTTGAGGAGTCTATTCCACATTTTCACAGCTCTTACTGTGAAGAAACCTTTCCGTGTTTGGAAATTAAATTTCTTTTCCTCCAGACATAAAGAATACCCCCTTGTCCTCTGTGATGACCTCAGGGTGAATAACTCTACACCGAGTTCACTATATAAACCATTGATGTATTATACATGTTGATCATATCCCCCCTTATGTATTATACATGGAGATCATATCCCCCTTATGTATTATACATGGAGATCATATCCCCCCTTATGTATTATACATGGAGATCATATCCCCCCTTATGTATTATACATGGAGATCATATCCCCCTTATGTATTATACATGGAGATCATATCCCCCTTATGTATTATACATGGAGATCATATCCCCCCTTATGTATTATACATGGTGATCATATCCCCCCCTTATGTATTATACATGGAGATCATATCCCCCCTTATGTATTATACATGGAGATAATATCCCCCCTTATGCATCATACATGGAGATCATATCCCCCCCTTAATCTCCTCTTCTCGTGAGATAATAAATTCAGTTTCTCTAATTTTTCCTCATAGCTGAGCTCCTCCATGCCTCTTATCAGTTTGGTTGCCCTTCTCTGCACTTTCTCCAGTTCCCCAATTTTCTTTTTGTGAATTGGTGCCCAAAACTGAACTGCATATTCCAGATGAGGTCTTACTAATGATTTGTACCGGGTAATATGATCTCTCTCTCTCTGGAGTCTATACCTCTTTTAAATACAAGAGAGGATTTTGCTCGCTTTAGAAACAGCAGCTAGGCATGGCATGTAATTATTAAGCTTGTGATCTACCAGAACCCCCAGATCCTTCTCCACCATTGATCCCCCCAGTTGTACCCCCCCCAGTATGTATGATGCATGCATATTCTTAGTCCCTAAGTGCAGAACCTTACATTTATCAACATTAAACCTCATTTGCCAAATAGTTGCCCAATTAAACAGTGCACTGAGGTCGGCTTGTAAGTTGGAGACATCCTGTAAGGACGTTATTGCCCGGCACAGCTTGGTGTCATCTGCAAAGACTGAAATGGGATTTATAATCCCAGAACCTATATTGTTTATAAATATATATTAAAAAGGGTCCCAACACTGAACCTTGGGCTACACCACTGACAACCCTAGACCATTCAGAGAATGAATCATTAACCACTACTCTCTGAATACGATCTTTTAGCCAGTTTTCTACCCATTTACATACAGAGTTTTCCAAGCCTGTAGACTTTACCTTACACATTAGCAGTGTGCAGGGAACTGTGTCAAATACTTTAGTATAATCCAAGTATACCACGTCCACCGTCACCCCTCTGTCCAAGTATATCACATCTATTGTGAAGGCGAATTAACTTTTTAAAGCATAGCAAACTGTCCTTTGAAGGTTTCCACAAAAACATGCTCATTGACAATGTGTGTGCTATTTTCACAGCCTTGTATAATGTATACTTATTACATGTTGATCCTACTGTTCCCATGAATAAGTCCTCATTTCCTCTGCAGGGCATACAACAGGGCTTTATATCCTCTTTGGACACTTCCCCTCATAGTACACACATGCTGTAATTGTTCCTGAACAGAGTGTTGTCGGAGCACAGGCAGAAATACAGCTCACGCTGATGCAACCTAAGAGGATATAAATACTAATACAGCTCCTTCCCTCCTACCTTAGCCTTAAGGGAAATTACTGCCCTCAGAAGGGAAGGAAAGCACTGAAATTTAATTGTTAACAGTCATGTGACCCAAAAGGAAAAAAAAAAAAATTAAAAGACATTGAGGTGTACAAAAGATATCAATTAGATAACATCTGGGCCTATTCCATCTAATGTAATATAATGCGGACCAGGTTAGTAGAGGTAAAACCACCACTTACAAGAGCAGGCTAAATTACCATTTTTCTTAAAGTGACTGTAAAGCTAAGAATTTCTTATTAAAATAACAAACGTGTTATTACTCCAGGCTCCTCCTCTTCTGTGTGCCACCACAGCAAGCTACTTGCCATGGAGGCACACCTGCAGGCTAGCTCCTGAGCCACACTACCCGTGTCCATAGACACACAGCGCTGCTCAGCCCCACCCCCCCCTTGCTCCCTCCTCACAGCCTTTGACAGCAATAGTAACCAATGGCTGCTGCCTTAGTCCCTGTGAGAAGAGGACGTAAAGGTAGAGAATACTGCAGCGGGGCACAGTGCTGGATCCCTGACAGGCTCAGGTGAGTGTTTGGAAAGTGGGCTTAGGAAATAGTGGGGCTTTTTCACCTTAAATCAGGAAATTCATCAAGATAAAAAACACCCAGCCTTTATAACCACTTTAAAATGTCCTTTACCGTATTTTTCGCTCCATAAGACGCACTTTTTTCCCCCCAAAAAAGGGGGGAAATGTCAGTGCGTCTTATGGAGCGAATATAAAGCGGCCGGTCCGGTATTTCTGCCACCACCATGTCAGAATACCGGGCCGGCCGCTCAGCTGTTCTCTCCTGCAGGACCTTACCTGTTCCTCGCTCCAGCGCTGCACAGTCTTCTCGCGCTGGCTTCTGTGACAGCCGGGTGCCCACTGCGCATGTGCTGCGCTTTGTGAATGATCCGGTGTCTTCTGGGACACATGACAGGTCCCAGAAGGCGCCGGGCCATTCACAAAGCGCAGCGCTTCTCGCACATGCGCAGTGGGCACCCAGCTGTCACAGAAGCCGGCCCGGGAAGAAGAGGGAAGGACAACTCCACAGAAGTGGGAGCGGGTACCTGTCAAATTCAGGTACCCGCTCCCCCTCCCTCCCCAAAGGTCAGCAGTCTCTGGTCATCCCCTGCACTGTGTCCGCAGTCTCTGGTCATCCCCTGCACTGTGTCCGCAGTCTCTGGTCATCCCCTGCACTGTGTCCGCAGTCTCTGGTCATCCCCTGCACTGTGTCCGCAGTCTCTGGTCATCCCTGCACTGTGTCCGCAGTCTCTGGTCATCCCTGCACTGTGTCCGCAGTCTCTGGTCATCCTCCTGCACTGTGTCCGCAGTCTCTGGTCATCCCTGCACTGTGTCCGCAGTCTCTGGTCATCCCCTGCACTGTGTCCGCAGTCTCTGGTCATCCCCTGCACTGTGTCCGCAGTCTCTGGTCATCCCCTGCACTGTGTCCGCAGTCTCTGGTCATCCCCTGCACTGTGTCCGCAGTCTCTGGTCATCTCCTGCACTGTGTCCGCAGTCTCTGGTCATCTCCTGCACTGTGTCCGCAGTCTCTGGTCATCTCCTGCACTGTGTCCGCAGTCTCTGGTCATCTCCTGCACTGTGTCCGCAGTCTCTGGTCATCTCCTGCACTGTGTCCGCAGTCTCTGGTCATCTCCTGCACTGTGTCCGCAGTCTCTGGTCATCTCCTGCACTGTGTCCGCAGTCTCTGGTCATCTCCTGCACTGTGTCCGCAGTCTCTGGTCATCTCCTGCACTGTGTCCGCAGTCTCTGGTCATCTCCTGCACTGTGTCCGCAGTCTCTGGTCATCTCCTGCACTGTGTCCGCAGTCTCTGGTCATCTCCTGCACTGTGTCCGCAGTCTCTGGTCATCTCCTGTATTGTGTCCGCAGTCTCTGGTCATCCCCCGTACTGTGTCAGTCCATTGGTTCAGAATATTTTTTTTTCTTGTTTTTTGCCTCTAAAACCAAGGTGCGTCTTATGGAGCGAAAAATACGGTAATTCTTATTTTCTAAACAGTGTCATACAGCTCTATAACATTCTATTCAAATCTGCAAGAAAAAGATCCTTGTGATCATGCAGATCAGAAAATCCTCTAAACCAAAAACAACAACATAAAAATAGAATGTAAATAGTTTCTTCTCTTACCTCCATACTGCTCTTTGCTGGACAAGCGGTTCTTTTAGGGATAAGAGTTTTTCTGCGAAGTTGATATGGACTATTCTGTGCACCAGGACCTGATTCTTCTGCAACCATGTCTGCAGGCACTTCATCTGCACAGGAAGGGAGACAGGTTAGCAATTTTATACAACATCAAAGCTTCAGCAGGTAAAAACTTTAATGATCATAAAGGTGTTACATTTTATTCCTTTTTAAAGACCCAACCCCATCCACACAATTTTTAGGTTTCTGTGGTTAACGTAATGGCAAGAGATTCACAATTTCTCAGTAGCAAGATCTGTCTCCCCACCTCCAGAAAAAAAAAATAAAAATAGAGACATGGTCAACAGACAAGACCAATCAGATCAATTTAGGGTTAACTATACCATTAATGATGGCCCTAAAATTTCTGCACACATTCTCTCACTCAATGTTTATATACACATGCACATTCTATGCCTGTTTGTATTTAAACAGGTGCACAGGGTAACAGGGTTGCTCATAAAAAATAATTTTTTTTAAATTTTACATTTTTTAATTTAAATTTTAACTTTTTTTTTGTTTAACTTTATTGCAATCACAATAAGGATGATAAAGAGGGGCGTCTGGGCACTTCCAAGTGCAGTAAAAGTGATAGTCCGTGCTACAGCCACCCAGATCACCTTTACTGAACAGTGACTTGCCCTCTTGTATACTGAAGACAGGTGGTCACTTGCACAGCATTTTTTCCATTCCAAGAATGTCTTGTATTTTATTTTTCAAATGAATACAAGCTGTTCTTTCCTTGAATGAGGGGTAGAAGAAGGGTGGATGATGTCACTATCTCTGCTTCATCAAATAAGAGAACACCTTGTATTCTTTGAAAAAAGAAAAATAGGGTGTTGTTCACTCAGTACCTCCTCCATTCAGGGAATATCTTTCAAGTCTACAGACGGCAAGTTGCTTGAGCAGCATTCGGAAAAGACCAAAACACTGACTGTATGTAGTACAGACTACTACAGCAAATTTCTGCAATCCCAGCTACCCTCTGGATATGAGCTACAAAGGATTAGATCTAATCAAAACAGGACCAATGCAAGCTACAAAAAAAAAAAAAAAAATATATATATATATATATACATACATACATACATACATACATACATACATACATATATATATATATATATATACATACATATACATACACATACACACACACACACACACACACATACATACATACACACACACACAAATAATAATATATATATATATAAATAAAATAAAGAAAATGTATGCACATAATTGTACAGAGAACATTTATGCACATTGATGAGATTTATATTAAGATTATCACAATCACAGCCTACCAATATATAAAAAACATTCTTGTGGTCAACATGGCTACGACAGAGAAAATGCAGCTCCAGGAAATCCTGGCTCCCCCCGGCCTACTGTCCAATTAGATTGCCATCAGTGATAACCAAGTTGCACTTAGTGGTTAGTAAATTAGACATGACCCCAAAGTTGATGCTTGGTCCTAACGCTGCCCCCAGGGCCTGCTTGTCAGGTGCAGGGGCGGACTGACCATTTGGAAACTCGGGCACTGCCCGAGGTCAGTAGGGGGCCCCATGAGATGCCCCTGGTACCTTTTTCATAGGCTTTTTTGAGTTTGGGCAAGGACACAGGGGCCCCATGAGTTGTCACTCCCCCCCTGGTCAGGTGTCATACCTTTGCCCCACCTTAACATCCTTGCTATCCTTCGCACCACTGATCATCAATGTATCTACCTCCCTTTCTTCAGAATGGGCACAGAGTATTAAGAATTATTAAAACAAAAGTTTCCTTTAAGCTTCAATTATAAAAATACTTGCATGGTACATATTAAAAATCAAATTTTTTTTTAATTTGGGACTACCAATAGCCTTGCACTGGGGCAATTTATAAACAGTTGAAATTGGCAAGGCTTTTTTGCACTTTGATAAAAGGGGACATAAAGGTCTTTTATTCCTCAAACCAGCATTTGTATATTCTGCTGGTAAAAACTTTAATGTTTGTAAATAAGTCTACGCCACGGTTTTTACAGCAGCAGAGGGCATCTTTCATGTGCTATTAAGCTGTTGCAGCCTGCCAATCACTCAGAATAAATCATCCCTTGTGGAAGGCCACTTTCTGTATCACAAGGTTGTGTTATTTTTTCCTCTCATTTCTCTCATTCACAGCAGAAGTTCAAACCAATGAAAGCTGTCATTGCTTCATGGTAGCCAATGTTGTGTCTGGTTTAGATTCATCAGCAATTAAATGCTCTTTTCCACATAGCTTACCAAAAAGCATCCATCCCAAAAAAATGTGTAGACACATGGGTTCTGTGATTTACCAATTGGCTCTTTCAGAACATAACCCTTACTCAAGATTCACACTATAGAGGGTGGTTGGGGGTGCAGAAACAGGTGAGATACCCGCAACCACCCACCGCCCTTTATAAATGCGTGAGGATGCCATTCATTCCTAATGACACCCCCACACATCTAAAATGCAGTGTGTTTGCAGGTGCTGGAACCGCCAGAAAATCACATGGTGTAAAAGCACCATGTGATTTCCTGGCCACGGTGTTTCAAAAATGATGCAGGAACCTTTTTCCTGCATGAGACGCAGGCACAGCAGTCCATTCAAGTGAATGAATGCTGTGCCCATGCAAACACGGATCGCAGAGCAGCACCAGCGTGAACCAGGCTTTACCATTAACATATAGACTGTTCAGTCCACCTGTGTTAAGTCTTCAGAAGTTAACCGCTTCCTGACCACCCTATTTCAGTAGTACTGCTACAGGGCCGCTTAAAATCACACACACAATTTTCTATTTCCGGGTCCTACCCGCACCGCCATTAGCAGCTACAGCTGTCAATCACTGGGTCCCGTCCCAGAGATCCCCAACCGGCACCCAGCGATCCGCGAGGAATAGTATGTAAACAAAACAGATCTCTCCCCTGCTTTATATGCAATACAAAGCAACGTGCTTACACAGTAAACCGCACACAGACAAAATATTAGAAGAGCACACAGTTAACCCTTTGATTGCCCCAGATGTTACGCCCTTGCTGCCCAGTGTCAGTACAGTGTTGGTGCTTTTTATTAGCACTAATCACTGTACTAGTGTGTCAGTGGGGATGTCAGTGGCAGTTAGTCTCCCCCCGTGTCAAATACCATGGAAAGAAAGCTCAATTTTGTGGGGGGGGGGGGGGGGGGGGGAAGGACATATATTTAATTTGGGTGCAGAGTTGCATGACCGCGCAATTGTCAGTTGGAGTAAAGCAGCGCCGTATCGCAAAAAATGGCCTGGTCGGGGGGGGGGGGGGTAAATCCTTTGGAGGGCAAGTGGTTAACAAAACTCGAGCCACCCTTGGCCCCGTCTGCCAGCTGGAATACGGTCAGCCAAACAGTGACTGCATCCAATGAGATGCAGGTACCAAGTATTTCGACAGCAGCAGGTGCCAGCCATCAGAACTCAATAGCCAAAAGGAAAGGGTTGGAGAAATCTATAGGTGTATGGCTAGCCTTATGCTTGCTATACAATGCAGGGATGTGCGATTCCTATCACCCGACATCCGGGACATGTAGTTCCGGGCAACAGGGTTTTTTTCTTTTACATGTAGCCCTGCTGCAGGCAAGCAGCAGGGCTTAGAGCCAGTGGTCGTCTCTAAAGGGGAGCCCTCTCCCGCCGCGGGCTGTCCCATCCCAATGCAGCATGTGGCCTGTCCCCGGACTCTCTCCGAAGCTCCACACCCCCTCCCAGGAAGTCAATGCCAGACAGTGTGCTCCCCTCTCCGGGCCTTCAGCCTGCTGTACAGAGAAGTCTGGTCCCATCCAATTCCAAATTGCAGGTGCGGCCTATCCTCAGAGCTCCTCTCCCTCCCTGGCATGTCACTGCTGGGCATTTCGCCACCCCCTCCCAGGCCCGTGGCCTGCTTTACAGTATGGTCCACTTCCATTCCACTCCGGTGTGCGGCATGTCCCATAGCTTCTCCCTCTCCTGGCATTTCACCGCAGGCAGTGCGCCCCCTGCCTCTCAGGGCCCGCAACCTTCTGTAACATAGGTTGCCAGTGCAGATGCTCAGAGTTGTAGTCCGTTTTATATGTACTATATACCTGGGTGCATGGTGCTTCTATAGATCATTTGTTAGTCGGGGGGGGGGGGGGGGGGTTGACTTTCAGGCGCAGACCACCATACAGGGAACAGAGATCCCACCAAAATCTTCCCTCATATAATCTACTGAGAGCACACAGTCTATACTGGCCCTCACCCTTTATGGGGGAAGCCCAGTACTCAGGGGCAGACCACCATACAGGGAACAGAGATCCCACCAATATCTTTCATCATATAATCCAAGAGCACACTGTCTATACTGTCCCTACCCCTCTCCCATACATCCCCTGTGACCCCCCCCCCACCCCATTTGGAAAAGCAGCTGAGTGGCTAACTAGCCGCTGGATTATTTTTACAGGCAGCAGGAGGGGACATCTCACCACCTTCCACTAGCTGTCCCATCCCATCAGGACACCTGATTCACCAGCAATCACTTCCACCATAAAAAGTAAAATGTACGCCGTTTGTTACCATTGCATGGGCATGCGCAATTTTAGAGCATTACAAGTTTGGAATCCATTTACTCGGCATAACATCATCTTTTATATTTTACAAAAAAATTGGGCTATGTTTTGTGGGGGGTTTTTTGCATCGGTTTGCCTTATGTTGTATAGCGCTGTGTAACTGTTGGCACTATATAAATCCTGTATAATATTAATACATTTATTTTTTTGGGTGTCCTAAGAAATTTTATAGCAAAAAATAAAATCAAAGTCATCATAAAGCCCCTTTCGTTTTTAAAAGCCCCAGGCAGTCCTAAAATCACCTCTGCCTAATTAAAAAAAAAATGTAAAAAAAAAAAAAAAAAAAAACAAAAAAACACAACCACCATCAACCCTTCATATTTTCCATTCTGGCATTATTTTTTTTTTTTTTAAGCAGGACAAGTAGATGGTCAAGAGGGACAAATAGATTGAGACCCAAATTTAGCCCCTGGTAGTTTTTAAAGAAATTTCCACACCTCTGTAGAGGTTAAACAAACAAAAAA